GTTTTCCTGTTTGCTTGTATTAATCTTCTCCTGTTTTGCCTGAAACTCCAACCTGACAGCAGATAACAGCTCAGCAGTCCTGGTTAGTTCCTCCTCTTGCAAGATGGCAAGCTTCAGCTTCTCAGCAAAATCAGAGATCTTCTTACCCTTATCTGGAAGCCTAGAAATGAACTTCCTAAGGAAAAAAAAACAATAAAACAACCCAAAAATAATCACAAAAACACAAGGTATAAACAATCCTATTTCAATTTGAGATATGTCTTTTGTTAGAATAGCCACTGGGGCAGGTTTTACATTCTAAGGCTACCTTCTTATTTATAAATATGTAATGTAATGGCCAGTCTTCACGAACGAAGAACCGGGGAAGGTCTTTACACCTTCCAGCCTGCGCATTGGATTTTTTAGGTGAGACACAGTGTGCGCGGAACTGAGCCCACCCTTTAATCCTGAGGTTCATCTGCCGGGGCCAAGCATGCTTGGACGGGGGCAGCGAGGTCCTCAGGACGTAGATGGATTGCCTTACAGGGCTAACGAGCTCCATCTGCCCGGGGAGTGGCCCCGACCGGGAATCGAACCCGGGTCTCTGCGGTGACAGTGCAGCGCCTTTAACCCCCTAGACCACCAGGGGCTCCCACCTTCTTATTTACATTACAGATTTCTGAACATGTTAAGATGCAAAGCACCCGCAGCTCAACCATGTGTTTTCACTGCGTGAATCACAGAATGGTTTGGCTTGGAAGAGGACCTTAAAGATCATCCTGTCCCATGCCCTGCCATGGGCAGGGACATCTTCCACCTGACCAGGTTGCTCCAAGCCCAGTCCAACCTGGCTCTGAACATCTCCAGGGGTGGGGCAGCTACCAAATCTAAACCTCCTCTCTTTCAGTGTGAAGCCATTCCCCCTTGTCCTGCCTCTCCATGTTCCTGTAAATAGTCTTGCCCCATCTGTCCTGTAAGCTCCCTTCATCTACTGGAAAGGGGCAATTATGTCACCCCAAAGCCTCTTCCCCAGGCTGAGCAATCCCCTGAGCAATCCCTCAGCCTTCCCCCGCAGCAGAGGTGCTCCCTCGCTCTGCCCGCGGGACCACCCGGGCACGCACGGCCCGAGCGCTGCCCGCACTCCCTGCCCCGCTGCGGTCCGGGCGGCCTCGCCGGCCCCCGCAGGACGGAGCGGCTCGTCCTCTGCTGCCCCGGCCGCCCTCACCTGTCGGCCAGCAGCCGCTCCTGCCGCCGCAGCATGTCCCGCAGCTCGGGCAGCGCCCGCCCGCGCAGCCCCGGGCCCGCCGCCATCCGCACGGCCCGGCACCCGCATGGGCGCCGCC